GTTCCCAGGAGGGTCCTTTCTGTCCTTTTTAAAGGTGGGTGCATTGTTTCCCTTTTGCCAGTCTCACTGTAACTTCACCTGACTGCCAGGACTTTTCAAATATCATGGAAAGTACCTTGGCAACTCCATCAACCAATTTCTCAGGATTCTGGGATGCATCTCATGGGGTCCCATGTGTTTGAGTCATCAGGTGCCCTTATGTTTGGGTTCCTCAAGTGGTCACCAGTGATGCCCTTGATCTTCTCTTACACTGGCTGGAATTTTGCTCCCCTGCCACATCTTGCCATCCATCCACTCAAGAGGTGTGGGAAGAGAGGTTGTCAGTGCAGGCTGAAGCCAGGAAAGTTCTTGAGTCCCTCAGCCTTTACCTCGTCCATTGTTTCCAGTTTCCTAGTCTTGCTTGCTGGGGGAGAAAGACGCCCTTTAACCTTCCTGTTGTGGTTGACAGACCTCTAGTGGCCTTTCTTGTTGTTATTTTCACCCCTGGAAAAGTTCAGGCCCACCTGCACCTTGGACTTCCTGACTTTCTCCCTACATAACCAGGCAGCATTCCTCCGAAGCCAGTGTTGCTCCAATAGAGAGAGGGGGGTGTTTCCCAGAGTAGCTCTGGGCCCGATTTGTGTCTGCCAAATAAGATGAACCTTAACCTTTTCTGCCACCTTTGTCACGTCCATATTTAAACATTTACCAAATGCAAATAAGTCTAAAGATCATCCATAAAAACCAGAGACCAAATCACTTACAATCACTGAGCTGGGGATCTCTTTCTGTGGTGGCACTCAGCTACAGGAATGGCCCTGGGGCTCAGAGCTTCTCCACCAGTTGTGCTTCTGCTCCTGTCCCTGCTGGGTCTGGCTGCTGCTGGGAAGCTCCTGGTGGTGCCGGTGGACGGGAGCCACTGGCTGAGCATGCGGGAAGTGGTGGACCTCCTGAGGCAGAGGGGACACGAAGTGGTTGTGGTGGCACCTGAAGTGACTTTGCACATCAAACCTTCAAAGAACTTTGTGATGAAAATGTACTCAGTCCCTTACACAAAGGAAGATTTGAAGAAAGAATTCCAGGCATTTTTTCATTTTTCATTTGAACAAGGACCTTTTCTGGAAAGACTTGTTAAAGCATACCAAGGTATCAAAAGAATCACTGACTTTGGGGTCACCAGCTGTGAGCAGCTGCTGCAGAACAAGGAGCTCGTCACCTACCTTGAGGACAGCAAGTTTGATGCCATCCTTACAGACCCTGTCCAACTGTGTGGGGCAATCCTGGCGAAGCACCTTTCACTTCCTGCTGTGTATTTCTTACGAGGACTCCATTGTGGGTTGGATTTTGAAGCCACTCAGTGTCCCAGGCCCCCTTCCTATGTCCCCAGGGGATTTACACAATTTACAGACCACATGGCCTTTCTCCAGCGGGTGAAGAACCTACTTTATGACATCCCAGATAGTTTTATCTGTGATTTTGCCTTTGACCCATTCTCAAAACTGGCTTCAGAGTTCCTGCAGCAAGACGTGACTGTGCAGGATCTCTTACGCCAGGCTTCAGTTTGGCTCCTGAAGTTGGATTTTGTGCATGACTATCCAAGACCCTTGATGCCCAATATCATTCCAATTGGAGGAGTAAACTGTGCTCACAAGAAGCTGCCTCAGGTGAGTCACACTATTTTAATCCATGCCATAATTGATTTCTGTGTTCAGGAGGGGGGAAATTTTGTTATGCAATAGGCTTTGAGTTTCTGTTTCTGGTGAGTGAGGTGAGGTGAATCCTCATAAAAGGAACTGTTTCTCTCTCCTTTTTCCTGACTTCCACTTCATGTGTAGACAGCTGTTCCTTCTGGCCTTTAAAGGGTGCCCTGTTGAAGGGAGTCACCAGGCTTCTCTCGTGAAGGTCTGTGGTGGGACACTGATTCTACCAGCAGAGTGCTCAACTCTAATGCCTGAAGCAGGTCTGATTTGACACATCCAGTACGGCTTGATGGGCACTGATTGTTTGGGTTAGGGTGCAGCCTTGGTAATGATGCCAAACTTTGGGTTCCCTTGGATGCTGGCAAGAGCCCTGGGCACTGTTCCTCATGAGAGCCTCCTCTGCTGCTCCAGCGTGGGTGAGTTCTTTTGTTGGCCTGGCTTTCCCTTCACTCGTATTCCTTAGGATTCGTGTGGTGTAGGGTGGCATCCCAATGCTGCTGTGGCAATTCCACCAGTCCCCAAGTGTGGGGGTGGCTGTGACATCTGGCAGACATCCCTGTGCACACTGGGATTGGCCATATGAGCATTCACACAACTCCACCACTGCTAGCCACTGTGGGTACTTTGCCAGTGACAAAAACAATGCCAGAATTATGCCCTGAATTGTTCCGTGAAAACTCCTCCACAAAGAGTTTTTGTAAACCTCTGCTTAGAATGTGGCATCATCTTTCCATCTTCGGTGTCCTCTCTGTCTGGAAACAGTCTTAAAGGAGCTATTCCACAGCTGCCATGGGGTCTGGGTCTCCTAGAGATGAGATGGGAAGGGAGAGAGAGGAGGCACAGGCCATGACTGCAGGAAAGGAGAAGCCTCTACATGTCTGAATGGTGATGTGCATGTGACACATCTCCTGAACATGCAGAAGGTCGAGCCAGAGAGAAGGAACCAAAGGGCATTCCCAGAGCCACACCTGCCTCCTCCCTGGGGCAATCTTTAATGTAGCTCTGATAGAGAGAAGGTGGAGTTACCTGGTGATTCGATGGATTTGGCAGGAATCCCATGCTTGTTCTGCAACCTTTTATAGTATCAGGGATTACACATTCATCACCCAGCATATAAAAAAAGGATCCACAGTTGGGCTGTGGCACAGATTGTTTGAAAGCACAGAGCAGGAACCCGTGCTCCGGTGCTGTCAGGGATTTCCTTCCTTGGAGGCACTCAGCTCATCCCTGCAGGAATGGCCTTAGGGGTCAGAGCTTCTCCACCAGTTGTGCTTCTGCTCCTGTCCCTGCTGGGTCTGGCTGCTGCTGGGAAGCTCCTGGTGTTGCCAGCAGATGGGAGCCACTGGCTGAGCATGCGGGAATTGCTGGACCTGCTCCAGCAGAAGGGACACGAGGTGGTTGTGGTGGCACCTGAAGTGACTTTGCACATCAAACCGTCAAAGAACTTTGTGATGAAAATGTACTCAGTCCCCTTCACACAGGAAGAGTTGGAAAAAGCATTCCAGGCATTTTTTCATGGTTCATTTGAAGAAGGTTGGTTTTTTAAGAGATTTTTTAAAGTGTACAGAGGTTTGAAAACCCTCACTGACTGTTGGGTCACCAGCTGTGAGCAGCTGCTGCAAAGCAAGGAGCTCATCAGGTACCTCGAGGAGAGCAAGTTCGATGCCATCCTCACAGACCCTGTAGCAACTTGTGGGTTGATCCTGGCAGAGCATCTTTCCCTTCCTTCCATGTATTTCTTACGAGGAGTCCCGTGTGGATTAGATTTAGATGACAGGCTGTGTCCCAGTCCTCCTTCCTATGTCCCCAGGGTATTTACAGACCTTACAGACCACATGACCTTTTTCCAGCGGGTAAAGAATCTGCTCTTTGAGATCCCAAATGTTTTCCTCTGTGATTTTGCTTTTCAACCCTACTCAAAACTGGCTTCTGAGTTCCTGCAGAGGGAGGTGACCGTGCAGGATCTCTTACGGAAGGGCTCTGTTTGGCTCCTGAGGTTGGATTTTGTGCTTGACTATCCAAGACCCTTGATGCCCAATATCATTCCAATTGGAGGAGTAAACTGTGCTCACAAGGAGCTGCCTCAGGTGGGTCTGGTTTTAATCCATGCCTTGATTGATTTCGGCATTCAGGACGGTGGAATTCTGTGTTGTGATAGAAATCAAGTTCCCATTTCTGGTGAGTGAGGTGAATCCTCAGTAAAGGAACTGTTTTTCTCTCACTTTCTTGCTGACTTTCTACATCCTGTGTAGGCAGCTATATCTTCTGTCTTTTAAATGGTTCTCAGTTATAAAGAAACACCAGGGTCATCTAGGGACCCTGTACTAAGGATCTGTGATGGGACGTAGATTCTGCCAGACAAAGGGATTCTGAGAATTTGTGGATAGCAGAACAAAGTTTTGGATTAGTATAATGACCATTTGCAATGGGATCACCCAGAGAACCTTAAAAGCCCAGGATTGATGTCTGTAGCAGGTCTGATTTGACACATCCAGCATGGCTTGACTGGCACTGAGGGATTAGCTGCAGCCTTGGCCGTGATACCAACCAGTCAAATCTGCTATATGCTTGGGCTCCTTGGGATGCCTCCTGGAGAGCCTCCTCTGCTGCTCCAGGGGAGAGCCTGGAGAGTTGAGTGAGTTCTTTTGTTGGCCTGGCTTTCCCTTTACTCGTATTCCTTAGGATTCGTGTGGTGTAGGGTGGCATCCCAATGCTTCTGTGGCAATTCCACCGGTCCCCAAGTGTGGGGGTGGCTGTGACATCTGGCAGACATCCCTGTGCACACTGGGATTGGCCATATGAGCATTCACACAACTCCACCACTGCTAGCCACTGTGGGTACTTTGCCAGTGACAAAAACAATGCCAGAATTATGCCCTGAATTGTTCTGTGAAAACTCCTCCACAAAGAGTGTTTGTAAACCTCTGCTTGGAATGTGGCATCATCTTTCCATCTTCGGTGTCCTCTCTGTCTGGAAACAGTCTTAAAGGAGCTATTCCACAGCTGCCATGGGGTCTGGGTCTCCTTGGGATGAGATGGAAAGGGTGAGAGAGGGGGGACAGGCCATAACTGCAGGAAAGGAGAAGCCTCTACATGTCTGAATGGTGATGTGCATGTGACACATCTCCTGAACATGCAGAAGGTTGAGCCAGAGAGAAGGAACCAAAGGGCATTCCCAGAGCCACACCTGCCTCCTCCCTGGGGCAATCTTTAATGTAGCTCTGATAGAGAGAAGGTGGAGTTACCTGGTGATTCGATGGATTTGGCAGGAATCCCATGCTTGTTCTGCAACCTTTTATAGTATCAGGGATTACACATTCATCACCCAGCATATAAAAAAAGGATCCACAGTTGGGCTGTGGCACAGATTGTTTGAAAGCACAGAGCAGGAACCCGTGCTCCGGTGCTGTCAGGGATTTCCTTCCTTGGAGGCACTCAGCTGATCCCTGCAGGAATGGCCTTGGGGCTCAGAGCTTCTCCACCAGTTGTGCTTCTGCTCCTGTCGCTGCTGGGTCTGGCTGCTGCTGGGAAGCTCCTGGTGGTGTGGGTGGATGGGAGCCCCTGGTTCACCATGCGGGAGGGGCTGGTCCTGCTCCAGCAGAAGGGACATGAGGTGGTTGTGGTGGCACCTGAAGTGACTTTGCATGTCAAACCATCAAAGAATTTTGTGATGAAAATATATCCAGTCCCCTTCACACAGGAAGAGTTGGACAAAGCATTCAAGGCATTTTTTAATATCACATTTGAAGAAGGATTTTTTCTAGAAAGATATTTTAAAGCATTTGAAGCTATGAAAAGATTCACTGATTTTGCGTTCTCCAGCTGCAGAAGCCTCCTGCAAAACAAAGAGCTCATCAGGTACCTTGAGGAGAGCAAGTTCGATGCCATCCTTACAGACCCTGTAATACCTTGTGGGGTGATCCTGGCTGAGCATCTTTCACTTCCTTCTGTGTATTTCTTACGGGGAATCCCATGTGGGTTGGATTTTGAAGCCACTCAGTGTCCCAATCCTCCTTCCTATGTGCCCAGGGGATTTTCCCAATTTACAGACCACATGACCTTTTTCCAGCGGGTGAAGAATCTGCTCTTTGACACCCAAAACCTTTTCCTCTGTGATTTTGCCTTTGAACCCTACTCAAAACTGGCCTCTGAGTTCCTGCAGCAAGACGTGACTGTGCAGGATCTCTTACGGAAGGGCTCAGTTTGGCTCCTGAGGTTGGATTTTGTGCTTGACTATCCAAGACCCTTGATGCCCAATATCATTCCAATTGGAGGAGCAAACTGTGCTCACAAGGAGCTGCCTCAGGTGGGTTGCACTCAGTTTTAATTTGTGCTGTGATTGATTTCTGTGTTCAGGAGCCTTGAGTCTTGTGTTGCAGATGGGAATCAGATTCCCATGATGGGTGGTTGGATGAATGCTCATGAACTTTTCTCTCCCTTTCCATTTGTAGGCAGCAGTCCTGTACCTTCTCACCTTTAAAGTGTGCTCTGCATTTGCTGATTTCATTTCACATATCCAGAACCATTTTGTGTAACTTTATGTAACTTGGTGCTCTCTAACTGAGTGATGCACGAGTCTGTGGGGCTGTCAAAGTCTTGTAGTCATGTGCCATCCTCAATTAGCAAATTGACCCCTGTAGTTGGGTGGGTCTGGTGTATACTGAGAAATGCACTTCAGGTTTCTGTCCTTGTTGCCTCACTACGTCTTTCTTTGCCGGGGAATTTTTGGGTTTCATCACCCAGGTATTTCCAAATCTGGAATCTGCTAGGCAGGTGGCAGGCTGGGGGCTCTCAGGTTGAGAAGCAGTCTCTCTGTTTGCTGGCAGATCTAGGAAAATTTTGCCTTGGGGATGGCTGTGTGAGGTATAACAGCAAGTTTCAGAGGTCTCAAGGGGCTACAGTGGCTTGGCAGGTGATGCTCAAAGCTGACAAATATACCAAAGGTTTTGTTATAAAACACAAGGCTTATCTGGTGCATCCCCCCCATTTATCAGTTGCATGAACTTTGCTGCTGGTTATTCAGCCTTTTATCACACCAGTGATTACACATTTACCACACAGCAGATAAAGCAAGGATACAAAGCTGGGCTGTGGCACGGATTGCCTAGAATTGCAGAGCGAGGGCCGGTGCTCCAGTGCTGGCGCAGATTTCCTTCCTTGGAGGCACTCAGCTGATCCCTGCAGGAATGGCCTTGGGGCTCAGAGCTTCTCCACCAGTTGGGCTTCTGCTCCTGTCCCTGCTGGGTCTGGCTGCTGCTGGGAAGCTCCTGGTGGTGTGGGTGGATGGGAGCCCCTGGTTCACCATGCGGGAGGGGCTGGCCCTGCTCCAGCAGAAGGGACACGAGGTGGTTGTGTTGGCATCTGAAGTCACTTTGCACGTCAAACCATCAAAGAATTTTGTGATGAAAATATATCCAGTCCCCTTCACACAGGAAGAGATGGACAATGCATTCAAGGCACTTTTTAATATCACATTTGAAGAAGGATTTTTTCTAGAAAGATATTTTAAAGCATTTGAAGCTATGAAAAGATTCACTGATTTTGCGTTCTCCAGCTGCAGAAGCCTCCTGCAAAACAAAGAGCTCATCAGGTACCTTGAGGAGAGCAAGTTCGATGCCATCCTTACAGACCCTGTAATACCTTGTGGTGTGATCCTGGCTGAGCATCTTTCACTTCCTTCTGTGTATTTCCTACGGGGAATCCCATGTGGGTTGGATTTTGAAGCCACTCAGTGTCCCAATCCTCCTTCCTATGTGCCCAGGGGATTTTCCCAATTTACAGACCACATGACCTTTTTCCAGCGGGTGAAGAATCTGCTCTTTGACACCCAAAACCTTTTCCTCTGTGATTTTGCCTTTGAACCCTACTCAAAACTGGCCTCTGAGTTCCTGCAGCAAGACGTGACTGTGCAGGATCTCTTACGGAAGGGCTCAGTTTGGCTCCTGAGGTTGGATTTTGTGCTTGACTATCCAAGACCCTTGATGCCCAATATCATTCCAATTGGAGGAGCAAACTGTGCTCACAAGGAGCTGCCTCAGGTGGGTTGCACTCAGTTTTAATTTGTGCTGTGATTGATTTCTGTGTTCGGGAGCCTTGAGTCTTGTGTTGCAGATGGGAATCAGATTCCCATGATGGGTGGTTGGATGAATGCTCATGAACTTTTCTCTCCCTTTCCATTTGTAGGCAGCAGTCCTGTACCTTCTCACCTTTAAAGTGTGCTCTGCATTTGCTGATTTCATTTCACATATCCAGAACCATTTTGTGTAACTTTATGTAACTTGGTGCTCTCTAACTGAGTGATGCACGAGTCTGTGGGGCTGTCAAAGTCTTGTAGTCATGTGCCATCCTCAATTAGCAAATTGACCCCTGTAGTTGGGTGGGTCTGGTGTATACTGAGAAATGCACTTCAGGTTTCTGTCCTTGTTGCCTCACTACGTCTTTCTTTGCCGGAGAATTTTTGGGTTTCATCACCCAGGTATTTCCAAATCTGGAATCTGCTAGGCAGGTGGCAGGCTGGGGGCTCTCAGGTTGAGAAGCAGTCTCTCTGTTTGCTGGCAGATCTAGGAAAATTTTGCCTTGGGGATGGCTGTGTGAGGTATAACAGCAAGTTTCAGAGGTCTCAAGGGGCTACAGTGGCTTGGCAGGTGATGCTCAAAGCTGACAAATATACCAAAGGTTTTGTTATAAAACACAAGGCTTATCTGGTGCATCCCCCCCATTTATCAGCTGCATGAACTTTGCTGCTGGTTATTCAGCCTTTTATCACACCAGTGATTACACATTTACCACACAGCAGATAAAGCAAGGATACAAAGCTGGGCTGTGGCACGGATTGCCTAGAATTGCAGAGCGAGGGCCGGTGCTCCAGTGCTGGCGCAGATTTCCTTCCTTGGAGGCACTCAGCTGATCCCTGCAGGAATGGCCCTGGAGCTCAGAGCTTCTCCACCAGTTGTGCTTCTGCTCCTGTCCCTGCTGGGTCTGGCTGCTGCTGGGAAGCTCCTGGTGGTGCCGGTGGACGGGAGCCACTGGCTGAGCATGCGGGAAGTGGTGGACCTCCTGAGGCAGAGGGGACACGAAGTGGTTGTGGTGGCACCCGAAGTCTCCTTGCACATCAAACCGTCCAAGACCATTGTGATGAAAACATACCCTGTGCCTTTCACTCAGGAAGAGATGGACAAAGTTTTCAAAGGGTCAGTAATGGATTTATTTAAAGGAGGACCTTTTCTGGAAAGAGTTATTAGGCAGTACCAACAGGCAAAAAAGACCTCTGCTCTGTTCCTGGCCACCTGCACACACTTAATTTACAACAAAGAGCTCCTCAGCTACCTTGAGGAGAGCAGGTTTGATGCCATCCTCACAGACCCTATCCTCCCCTGTGGGGCTATACTAGCCAAGTATCTTTCCCTACCTTCTGTGTATTTCCTGCAGCAAATTCCATGTGGTTTGGAATATCAAGCCACCCAGTGCCCCAATCCCCCTTCCTATGTCCCCAGAGTATTTACAGAGCTTACAGACCACATGACCTTTCTCCAGCGGGTGAAGAACATGCTCTATGACATCCCAAATTTTTTCCTCTGCGATGTTGTCTTCCAACCTTATGCAGAACTGGCTTCAGAATTCTTCAAGCAGGAGGTGACTGTGCCGGATCTCCTGCGCCAGGCTTCCGTTTGGCTCATGAAGCTGGACTTTGTCTTGCACTTCCCAAAACCCTTGATGCCCAACATGGTTTTGATTAGTGGAGTAAATTGTGCTTACAAGAAGCTAAATCAGGTTGGTCACACTCTGTTTTCTCTTGTTGTTCTTGGAGGCTTTGGAAATCTCTGGGAAGCTGAAACTCACCTTTTGTTAGAAGGGAGGATTTCAAACTGCTCATGCTTTTCAGGTTCTGGTATCTGTGAAGGATTATCAGAGTAGAAACGTGGAGAAAGTGTTGTATATGGAATTAGCTCTGGGAGACTCCTCACTGACTCTCTGTGCCTCTGCTCCAAGGCAGCTTTAGCTTTGGAGTAGGCTGTTGGTGTGGTGCAAGACACACTTTGAGAAGGACTTCATTTATCCTCTGGCTGATTTCCTCAACAATTCTTTTTTTTTTTTTTTTTTTTTTTTTTTTTTTTTTTTTTTTTTTCTTTTCTTACATTAAAGAAGGATTTTCAATGCTTTGAATTGTCATAGACTCATAAAACATGTATGCCTGGAAGGACATTAGAAGCCTCTCTGAGATCCTGCTGTCAGAATATGTCCAGTTCAGGTTGTTTCTTTTATTGTCTTGTCAAATTTTAATAATAAGTGAACACACCTTATTATATCCAATTGATTCCTGTATCCAATTTGAATTTTCCATGTTGCAGCTTGTGATTGTTGCCTCTTGTCCTGTCACTGTCAATCTCATTTTTTCTTTAACTTTTTGTCATCTCTTGCATTCAAGCTGTAGTGCACCTGTCCTGTGGCATGGAATTATCCAATTCCAGCGGCAAAACTTTGCATCTGCCTTTGCTGACCTTCAATGAGCCTTTTGTAGGCTCATTTTTCCAGCTTGTATATCCCAGGCCAGTGATGTTCCTTAGTTAAATTTATATCTAGCATCGAAAAAACAAAGTATAAGTTACTTTATTCTTTTAATATGAATTCACATCAGCTGTTTTTTAATGTGTTTTCAAATAGATTTTGTGGTTTTCAGAGTATCCTCTTAGATTCCATTTTTAATAATAACTATTCCTGTTGGGTTTTTCAGATATTTGCTTTACAAAATGCTGAGGTAAGTCTGATATTTCAGAAAAAGTCCAATCTCACACAGTAAAAATGGAGGATTTTTAAGAGGATTCAAACTTGGTACTCAGGCTAGAAAAGCAAAGAGGGAATAAATTGCACAGCTAAACCTATGAAAATTATTATGGCAGATGTCTGGAAAATCGGGAAAATCATAGCTAAAGGCACAAGGGGAACTGATAATTTCTCCCAATATTTGTGCTATGACTAACACTGAAATGCAGCAAGCTTAGAGCAAACAAAGGGGGGTATTTTTTCACACTGTGGCCCAAAAAACCCCAAATCAGCCTCTCAAGAGGCACAGATTTTCTTTTTTGTAGACAAATTCTCTGAATTTAAAAAGGATTTAGGGGGTCAATAAGAGGTACAGGCTGCCTGTTGGGATTTGTAGGCTTACAGGAGAGATAATCATGGATTCCCTCAGCTCGGATATTTTCTGTACTGTTTCCAGCTTACAACCTTGGCACTCAGTTCCAAACTTTTGCTTGACTTTCTCCTACTGTCTCACCTTTAGAATGTGCTGGACTTGTGGACTTCACTCTCTGCACTCGTAAACATGTGGAGGGTGTTCATGTGCTGCTCAAAATCCAGTGTCACAACTTCTATGAACTTTTGCTGAACTTTTGTGAGCTTCTTTTTTTTTTTCCAAATTTTTTTCTGAGCTTGGCCTCAAGGGTTTGGGTTGAGGGGATTTTCTTACCTCTTTAGTGTTGTTTCATAGGGTTTTGTTTTAGTGTCTCACAGATGATACAAGTTTGGATGAAATGTT